CGGCCGCCTCCTTGTTGTTGTTGTTGCGACTCGGCGTTCCATCCGCCCGCGGGGGCGTGCGCGAGTGCGTGCGTGTGGCGCGGCCCACGTGGGCCGGGGGCTCTGGCGTGACGTCACGCGGAGCCATTTTGTGCCTCGTGGAGGCCGCGCCCCGCACCCTCATTAACCATGTTTCCCTATTAGTCCTGCATCCCCCTCATTAAGGATGCGCCCCTCATTAATAATGCACCCCTCATTAAGGATGCATTTTTTTTTCCCCCCCCCCATTAACAATGCACCTGCCTCATCAAGGATGCACCCCTAGTCATGATGCACCCCTCTCATTAACGAGGCACTCCCCTCATTAAGGATGCGCCCCCTCATTAGCAATGCCCCCGCTGTGTAGTGACGCGCCCTTCCTCGAGGGCGCACCCCTCCGTCAGAATACAGCCCCTCATTAGGAATGCACCCCGCAATTATGCAAATGTCCTCATTAACGACGCGCCCCCTCCCTGGTGCACCGCCATTAATAGTGACTCCCCCCGCGTGGAGCGTGCACCCCCGTTAATGATGCACCCCCGCATTAACAATGCGCCGCCTGCTAATTATGCAGCCCCCTCCTTAGTCACGGTGCCCCGATAATGATCCGAGCCCCCGTTAATTATGCAGCCGCCCCTCATTAACGCCGCACCCCAGGACTGCTGCAGCCCCCTCATTAATAATGCAGCCCCGGAATAGCCAACCGCCTATTAATGCGCCCCCCTCATTAGCAATGCGGCCCCCTCATTAGTGATGCAACCCCCCTCATTAAGGAAGCCCCTCATGCACGAGTGGGGGAAGGGCCCCGAGCGCACACGCGAGTTTAGGGATGCCGGGCAGCCCCATCGCGGGGGGTCACGCGTGGGGCTGGCTGCTTTGCAAGCCAGGTGGGGTGGGGTGGGGTGAAGCCCCCCACGGGTGCAGCCGCAGGTCCGGTTCGCGGGAGGTGCGCTGCGGGATCCCTAGGACTCCCACGGGTGTCCGGGAGGGCAAGGGCACGTAGTTCCCACGCGTGTCCTACCCCGGGCGGGGAGGGGGCTCGGCCCCACGCGTGACCCGGCGGGGT